TATTTATATATAATATAACGGCATATATTGATGTTTTATTTATTTATTTATTTTTGAAACAGATTTCCGTTCGTTGCCCAGGCTGGAGTGCAATGGTGCAATTCTGGCTCACCGCAACCTCTGCCTCCTGGGTTCAAGCGATTCTCTTGCCTCAGCCTCCCGAATAGCTAGGATTACAGGCATGTGCCACCACGCCCGGCTAATGTTTTGTGTTTTTAGCAGAGACAGAGTTTCTCCACGTTGGTCAGCCTGGTCTCGAATTCCCGACCTCAGGTAGTCCGCCCGCCTCGGCCTCCCATAGTGCTGGGATTACAGGCATGAGCCACCATGCCAGGCTTATTAATGTTTTTTATTGCCACGTTATTTGTAGTAGCGGAAGATTGATTGGAAACAATCCAAATGTCCATCAAAAGGGAATAAGTAAATAAATGATGATACATTTATACAATGGCTACTTTATAAGTGTAAAAAGGAGTAAGTAGGTTCTTTGTGTGTTAACGGGGAACAATTTCCAAAGCATATGGCTAGGGGAAAAGAAGCAAGGTACAGCAAAGTACGGATTATGGTATCAATCATTTTTAAAAGGAGGGGAAAGAAAAAAATATGTATCTCTGTTTGTTCCTATATGCATAAAGTTTCTCTGAAACAAACAAAAAACCAACAAGAAATAGTGTGTACAGTGGGAGAAAAGGGATTGGGGGATTTGGTTTGTTTTGGTGTTTGAATCACATAACTGTATTACCTATTCAAAAAATTAAGTAAAATATCTATGCCCAATTGTGCTAAAGCTATTAAGAAAATATGGAAATGTAATTTACCCTTGCCCTAGCATTTGCATTCTGGAATTGTTTCATTGTAAGCCATGTATTTTCAAACATATGAGAGTCTACCTTTCCAAAATTTTTTTAGCTTCTACTGAGGAAATGTAGCCACTCACAGATCCATTTTGTAGCCCCTGTAGCACATGTCCTCTTAATTTTCCAGAAGGAGAAACTGATATCAATGCTTCCTCATGAATGTGGCCCATCCAGTTGGAGACAACTAAAGGAATGAGGCCAGGCGCGGTGGCTCACGTTTGTAATCCCAGCACTTTGGGAGGCTGAGGTAGGCAGATCACCTGAGGTCAGGAGTCTGAGACCACCCTGGCCAACATGGCGAAACCCCGTATCTACGAAAAATAAAAAAATTAGCCAGGTGTGGTGGTGTGGGCCAGTAGTCCCAACTACTTGGGAGGCTGAGGCAGGAGAATTGCTTGAATCCAGGAGGCAGAGGTTGCAGTCAGCTGAGATCACACCACTGCACTCCAGCCTGGGTGACAGAATGAGACTTTGTCTCAAAAATAAATAAAAAATAAAATAAAATAAAATAAAATAAATAAAATAAAATAAAATAAAATATAAGGGAATCATTTCTGCAAGTGCTGTCCCTCCAGGCGGCACTAACTTGCTTTGCCTGTTTTCTTTCCACTTGCACTGAGGCTGGTGAGGGCTGCTGGAGAAGGTTCCTCAACTTAAGTCTCTTATGCCTCTCAACCATCATAGGCCTGACCACAACTGGGTCCTCAGTGCAGCTTTTCCATTGTTTCTCTAATCAGTTCTTGCTTATTTTCCTCAGGGACTCTTTCAGGCCTTCCCCGCGCTCTTCAAACTGCCACCGCAGTCTTCATAAGCAACTCTGCAATGCCTGGTTCAGAGATGCTCACGTTGGAGTGCTAGTTAAGCTACCTCCCCTGAATGCAGCCAGTCCTTGACACTTGGCCATACTGAGGCTGTTCTGCCATTTCCCTTCCTCCTTACGCCCCCTGGGAGGTCTTGCTATAATTTGTCCCTGGCCGTTTAGCATGTCTCAGCTTAAAAGAGCTAGCCGCAAGTGATGAAAGGGGAGAAAATCCTGTGTTCTTGTCTATGGATCACGTTCATAAAAATTGAGTGTTTATTTCTTGTTTGTGTGTTCAAAGCATGGAGAGAGAACCTGAATATCTCCAGGGGTAGAAAGTTATGTAAATAAAAGAAACTGGGTGGTGCAGTTGGGAGTGCTGGGACTGCAGAGTGTGGCATTGGTCTCTCTGCTTCTCATAACAAGAACACCCATTACCCAGGCTGCTGATTGGCATAAGTGGAGAAAAACGTCCCCGGGATGGTCTGGTTTTCCCATTTTTCAAGAGCAGCCCAAATGCAATTTTTTTTTTTTTTTTTTGGTGAAATTTTTGAATTCTTAAGATTCCGTGTGGGCCAAACTGAAATATCCTCAGGTGGATCTGACCTGCAGTTTCCAAACTCTGATTCTAGCCATCTCCTCATCCTTGACAAACTTGAAAACCTTGTCATAATTCAAATGTTTAAATAGCCGTTGGTGTGAAATCCTGTAAGATATTTTTCAAGCTAAATATATGATATATATTCTTTTGCTAGTGTCTTCAAGATAACTTTTACAATTCTAAAGAGATGAAATGTATTTTATAGAAACAATATTGCCCTTGCTTTAATAGGACATGATGCCTTATTTTTTAAGTATTTAAGCATTTTCAAAAGCATTTCAAAAAATTGCCTTCGGTAGCAAACAAACCTTGGGAAGATTTACAAACTTTCAATATAAAACGGCTTGTAAAAGAAGAATATGCTTAGATTTTGGTTTAAGAAATGCCTGTTTTGCTCAAATTCACTAATGCAAACAAACACAAAGCAAGAATCAAATCACTGTGTGGAGGTATCTGAGTGATAGATACTTTTTCTATGAAAATTCCAGCTAAATGTTTTACAGACCTTTAAATTGTCCTGAATCTAATGCCTTTTGAAACATAGTCAAAATCATGCAATAGTGGGCTATGAGAGATAAACCATTGAAATCATTTAATGCAACTCATCTATTTTACGACCCAGAAAAGTAAAGTCCCGATGGAGAAAATATTTTTATCAAAATGGCAGAGTATAGTGCTAGGGCCGGGGCTGGAATTGGATTAGAACACAGGTCTCCTGCCTCTATGTCAATAGCCACCTCCTTACGCATCTGTGTTTAGTATATTTTTATTTTTATTTATTTTTATTTTATTTTGAGACAGGATCTCACTCTGTCACCCAAGCTGGAGGGCAGTGGCATGATCTCAGCTCATTACAATCTCCACCTCCCAGGTTCAAGCGATTCTTGTGCCTCAGCCTCCCTAATAGCTGGGATTACAGGTGCCCGCCAACACACCCAGCTAATTTTTGTATTTGTAGTAAAAACAGCGTTTCACCATGTTGGCCAGGCTGGTCTCGAACTCCTGACCTCAGGTGGTTTGCCCACCTCTGCCTCCCAAAGTGCTGGGATTATAGGTGTGAGCCACCTCGCATGGCCCACATCTATGTTTATATAATACATAAGCTTATGCCATTAATAATTTTTGGAAAGTGGTTGATTGAGATATAAACATTACTGTCCCTGGATGGTTCTGTCTAAATTTCTGGATACAAACCAAAGATGTTGGGGTCTCCTAATTCGTGTTGTCTAGGAGTAAGAACAACAGAAAGAAGCTGTGGTTCTGGCAATTCTCCAGTCCTCTCTGCTCTGTAAACCATTGAACAGAAAGCAGATACTTTTATAAGAATGACGTCAGAGTTCCTCAGTCAAAATGATTTTCATTTCCAGCCCTTCTTGTGCCCAGGATGAGTTTCCTGTAATGCTCTGGGTTTGTGCTGTGCTGTCCTGTGCCCTCAGTAAAGGATTACACAGAGCTGAACTGCATGCCTTTAAGGGCACTGTGACATGGAAGAGAAGCTGAAATTGGTTCAGAGCCACTGTGTGGTAATGCCAGTCAAGTACCTTCTTTGTCCCAGAAAATTACTAGTTTCATGAGAGAAAGTGGAAAGGGCATAACCGTCCAATGGGTTCACCTTGCCTGCTGCCTAGGCAGAGCTGATTTATCAAGACAGGGGAATTGCAATGAAATACTAATCAAGACAGAGCTGGCTGTGCTGGAGCCTGGAGTTTTATTGTTACTCAATCAGTCTGCCCGACCATTCGGGGATCAGAGTTTTTAAAGATAATTTGGCAGGCAGGGGCTTGGGAAGTGGGGAGTGCCGATTGGTCAGGTTGGAGATGAAATCATAAGGGATGGAAGCGAGTTTTTCTTGGTTCTGTTCCTGGGTGCGATGGCAGAACTGGTTGCGCCACATTACTGGTCTGGGTGGTGTCAGCTGATCCATCCAGTGCAGGGTGTGCAAAATATCTCAAGCACTGATGCTAGGTTTTATGATAGTGATGTTACCCCAAGGACCAATTTGGGAAGGTTCAGGCTCTTGGAGCCAGAGGCTGCGTGACCCCTAAACTGTAATTTCTAAGCTAATTTGTTAGTCCTGCAAAGGCAGACTTGACCCCAGACAAGAAGGCGGTGTTTTCCGGAAAGGTCTGTTATCAATTTTGTTTCAGAGTCTAACCGTAAACTGAATTCCTTCCCAAAGTTATTTTGGCCTACACCCAGGAATGAACGAGGACCTCTTAAGGGTTAGAAGCAAGATGGAGTCTGTTAGGTCTGATTTCTTTCAGCGTCGTAATTTCCTTAGTTATAATTTGGCAAAGGCGGTTTCAAGAGGATGAAATGTTAGAAGTATAAAAATGTTTTTTTGTTGTTGTTGTTAAAGTTAGCAAATCCCTTAGGCTCATGTGAGATAATAACTAGCTAAGGTGCAGGTAAACCATGACTGTTTAGAGGCACTGAGAGGAAAAGTTTGGGGTATAGTTTTCCTTACTGGATGTGGGTGACTATTTTCCTCTCATGTCTCAGTCTCTTCATCTCTCAAGCTCACTCTTCCACCCGCAAAAGATGTATCTTAATTTCCGTTAGGCAGCTGATAAAAAGAAAAATTTCAGCTGAATTAAATTTAAAGGAGTTTAATTGAGCAACCACCCATTCACACATCCTGCAGCCCGTAGAATCACAGTAGATTCAGAGAGACTCCAGCACGCCACGTGGTGGAAGAAGATCTATAGACAAAGGGAAATGACGCACAGAAATCGGAAGGGAGGTACAGTCCAGCTGGATTGGTTACAGCTCTGCCTTTGCCTTGTTTGAACACAGTTTGAACGGTCCGCGGTGTTTGAATGGTTGAAGTACGGTGGCTGGGATTGGCCAAGACTCATCTATTGTTACAGACGCGTACTCCTAAGTTAGGTTTTCAGCCTTGCCTACCTGTTCAGCTAGATTGCGGTTCATATACAAGGTCTCAAATGTAGAAGTATGGAGTCATTCTCAGGCCATGTTGAGTTGGCTTTAACACAGCTCAAAATGAGTTCATAGGATTCAAGCTTTCTAGTCATCTCCCTTCTTGGAATCTGCATGCTAGCCTGATGACCTGTCCCTTGTCCCCACCGGAAGACTTCAGAGGGTGACCGGTTGCCATCAGTAGCTGTTTCCTATCGGCCTTAGTATTTCCAGATATCTTCTAGTGCTGGGGAGGACTGGCAGATTCTACACAGACCATGGGATATGGAAGACTGAATAATGACCGCCAAAGGCACCCAGGCCCTAATTTCTGGAACCTGTGATTCTTACATCATAAAAGAGACTTTGCGTATGTAATCCAATTAAGTCTTGAGTTAGGGAAATTGCACTGGAATTTCGAGGCGAGCCCTAAATACAATCACAAAAGGAAGGCAGAGGGAGATTTGATTAGACAGAAGAAGTCAACAGGACCACTCCTGCAACATGCTACGCTGCTGACTTTGGAGAATGAGGAAGGGGTCACGCACTGAGGAATGCAGGGGATGGGACTCTAAGAAGCTAGAAACGGCAAGGAAACAAGATTCTTCCCTACTGTCCCTGGAGTGAGTGTGGCCCCGCTGACACCCAGGAAGCTGCTTCCGGGTTTCTGACCTAGGTAACTGTGAGAGTATCCGTTTGTGTTGTTTTAAGCCATGATGTTTGGGGTGATTTGTTACAAAAGCCATAGGGAAATGATGCACAGGATAGCCCAGGTTTTCAGAAATGTTGTCAAAGAAAATTAGAAAAAAAAAAAAAACTATTGCAAAAGACAGAATTATAAATTCATAAAGAGTAACTACAAAGAGTTAATGCTAATTAAGTTCTAAAATCTCACTGAAATGGATGATTGAGTTTTTAGAAAAGTACAAATGATCACATTGACCAAAAAGTAGGAAATCTAAAGACGGCACTAACATGCTTTGCCTGTTTTTGCATTTGCACGGAGGCTGGTGAGGGCTGCTAAAGGAAATTCCTCCACTTAAGGCTCCCTGTGCCTCTCAACAACTGTGGGCCTGAGTGCAATTGGGTCCTCAGTGCAGCCCTCCCGTTTTTTCTCTAATCAGTTCTTGCTTATTTTCCTCAGGGACTATTTCAGGTCTTCTCTGCACTCCTAAAACTCCCCTACACTCCTCACACCCCCTCTACCATCACGTAGTAGATGGGCTTGCCTCCATTTTCACAAAGAAAATAGGAGTCCTCGGATATCTTCAATCTCTTATCCTCCAAACTGCATATATCTTCCTTCCCCCATCATTCCCTTTTCCTCCTCTTATCACAAAGGGCACGTCCCACCTCCTGTTCCAGGTTAATCCTTCTATCTCTGCTCTGGACCCCATCTAACTCTGTCTACTCAGGGATTTTATCAATTGATTGTCTTCTTTTTCTCTTATAAATCCAACCTTTCCCTATTAACTGGCTTCTTCCTGTTAACTTTTAAATATGTCCCCTTCAAACTCAAGTCTTCCCAGCTACCTCTTCCTTTGTTTCACAGGAAATTTCTTAAAAGAAAAATGTTAACTTATTTCCACTTTTTTACTCCTGTTCACTCTTTGCATGAATGTAATGTGGATCCCACTCACCTCATTTTAGTGAAATTGTCCTTGCTGACATCAACAATGAACTTCTTGTGGCTAAATTACTTTCCAAGGCTCAATCCTAAATGTATGTTTATCAGTGGGATTTGACACTGTTGCCCATCGCCTTCTTCACTGATACCCTTTCTTCCCACCTCTATCCCTGCTTGTTCAGTCTCTTTAATGAGCTCCCTTTTGACCATTTTGCAAGCATTTTTTATGATTGCCTTTGGCCTTTTTCTGTTTTTATTCAGTAATAATTTTACAAATGGCATCCTGTTCCTTCACTGCTAAAGTTACTCTCTGCTTATGAGCCTCATATCTTTATTCCCATGCAAGACACCCTCAACCTCAGAGTCATGTGCTCATCTTCGTACTAGAATTTCCTCTAGGTACTCTCAACATCCAGTGGATCAAAGACAGAAGTCATTAACATGTTCATCTTTCTTTACTCCTTACCTTAGTGAATGGTGCCAAGCCAATCTAGGTATCCTTATTCTCTTTCTTCCTTAGGAATACATCAAACCATTTCAATGTTCTGTCAAGTTTACTTCCTAAATATGTCTCAAATCTGGGCATCCATAATCTGTCACCTCATCCTCAGTGGCCTGACACTTCTCATTGACTCCATTGGTATCTCTTACCTGGTGTTAAGGGCTAGATGTTTGTGTCTTTCACAAATTCAGATATTGAGGCTTTCACCTCCAATGTGATGGTATTTGGAGATGGGGCCTTTTGGAGGTCATTAGAGTTACATGAGGTCATGAGGTTGGGGCCTTTATGATGGGATTAGTCCCCTTTTAAGAAGAGACACCAGGGTGCTCTCTCTCTCTCTCTCTCTCTCTCTGCCATATGAAGACACAGGAAGAAGGTAGCCACCTGTAAGTCAGGCAAAGAGCCCTTATCAGTGCCTGAATCTACTGGTACCTTTAAAGGTCTTGGACTTCCCAGCCCCCCAAACGATGAGAAAATAGTCAGGCAAAGAGCCCTTATCAGTGCCTGAATCTACTGGTACCTTTAAAGGTCTTGGACTTCCCAGCCCCCCAAACGATGAGAAAATAAATTAAGCCATCCAGTCCATAGTATTTTGCTATGGCAGCCTGGGCAGTCTAAGGTACCTGGATTATCAGAATTGCTTCCTAATAGAACATACCCATTTCCTTTCACACTAGCCAGAGTTATCTTAAACATATATCTGATCATGCTGCTCCCCTTTTATAAAGCATTTGGAGGACACCTTACTCTTAGGATAACGTCCACAATTCCTTAACCTTACTTACAAAGCTATGCATCATTTGCCTTCTCCTCTTACTACCTTCCTGTGCCACCCACCACCTCTAGGTCCAGTTTTGTTGCCCTTCTTTTGACTTCTTGGCCATGTCATTCTCTCTTTTCTTACGAGGATGACATGCATACTATTCCTTCTTTTTTTCCCTTATTAAATACTTCTCATCCTTCTCTGAAGGGCAACATGGGGAATTGATGAAAAGCATGAGCTCTGGAGTTCACCCTTCCTTGGCTTGAACCATGACTTGGCCACTTACTGGCTGTGTAATTTAGGGTAAGTCACTTAATTTTTCCGTGCCTCAGTTTCCTCATCTGTAAAATGAACATAATAGTGTCTACCTCATAGGATTTGTGAACCACAAAAATCTGAGACAGGTCTCAGTTAATTTAAAAATTTAGAAAGTTTATTTTGCCAAAGTTGAAGACACATGTCCATGATATAGCCTCAGGTGGTCCTAACAACGTATGCCCGAGGTAGCCAGAGCACAGTTTGGTTTTATACATTCTAGAGAGACATGAGACATCAATCGACATATCCAAGATGAACATTGGTTCAGTCTGGAAAGGTGGGACAGCGCTAAGAAAAGGCAGGAAGATTTGAAATGGGTGGGGGGGGGCGCTTCCAGGTCATAGGTAGATAAAAGACAAATGGTTGGTTTGAGTTTCTGATTAGCCTTTCCAAAGGAGGCAATCAGATACACATTTATCTCAGTGAGCAGAGGGTGACTCTCAATAGACTGGGAGGCAGGTTGGCCCTAAACAGTTCCCAGTTTGACTTTTCCCTTTAACTTGGTGAATTGGGAGCCCAAAGATTTCTTTACTTTCACAGATTGTTATGAGGATTTGAGTGAGTTTATACTTGTAATGTGCTTAAAGTAGTGCTGATTACATCAGTGTTTATTAAAGGAGTAAAATGCACCTTCATAGTCTCAGTTTAGACATTATCTTCTCTGAGAAGTTTTTGTTCAACCTCTCTCTCACCCTCACTCCTTAGTCTGGGTGGATGTCCCACTTGTATGCTGCCAAGAACACCTACGACTCTCCCAGCATGACATTCATCGTGTATTGTTATTGGCTGGTTGCTTTTCCATAATTCCCACAAGATATAAGCCCCAGAAAAGTAAAGAAAATATCTCTATTGTTTACACATCAATTTCCCAGTGCCTGGCAGAGCATGTGGCATATATCAGTCACTCAATCAATATTTTTTGAATGAACGATTTAATGTATTATGAAATTAGTAATGAGACATGGGTAGCTATACCCTGTGTTGACAGTGATGTATTTGAGAGGCCATGTCCAAACATCACCGGGAAAAGTTGTGACCACATAAATTAAGAGTTTTGAAAATGACTAATATGGGTGGACCCTTGAGGAACTGTATTAGTCAGGGTTATTTCCATTGCCAGTAACAGAAAGCATAAAAACTAATTCAACTGAGCTAAAGAAAAGTGGAAATATATTGGCTCATGTGACTGAAAAGTCTGTGGATGACTGACTTTAAGGCCTAAACAAACTCATCAGGACCCTCTCATTTCATACTTTCTATTGCATCGCTCTGTGTGCTGCGCCCAGCAGCAAAAGACTAACATTCTTCCTTGTTCAACCAGCAAATGACTCAGTCTATGGATTCAGAATAAGCTTGATACAAAGACAGGGAGACAGACAGACAAGCGGACAGATAGATAGAGAGACAGATAGATATCTCTGCCTGGGTCCCATATCATCTTTGCAGTAATCACCATGGCTAGGGAGATGTGATACTCTGGTTTGGAGTATATTGACTAAAAAAGTAGACAGGGCCAGGTGCAGTGGCTCACACCTGTAATCCCAGCATTTTGGGAGGCTGAGGCAGGAGTTCAAGACTCCTGAGGTCAGGAGTTCAAGACCAGCCTGGCCAACAGGGTGAAACCCCACCTCTACTAAAAATACAAAAATTAGTTGGGGGCACACACCTATAATATCAGCTACTGTAGAGGCTGAGGCATGAGAATTGCTTGAACCTCGGAGGCAGAGGTTGCAGTGAGTGAAGATCGAGTCACTGTACTCCAGCCTGGGTGACAGAGTGAGACTCCATCAAAAAAAAAAAAAAAAAAAAAAAAAAAAAGAGAAAAAAAGTAGATATGGAAAATTGGGGTACAGTTATCAGAAAAAGAATAAATGGATGATGGTTATACAAGTTATCAATTTATTGTGTATTGTCTTACACTTCCAAGTCTGCCATTCTTTTCCCTACTTTGTGTTACTAGAGTTGAACCCTGTCAACATTTCTCATTACCCAGCTGGCACAATGCTGAGCTTTGCCTGTAGGGGGCACTGGAGGCACATTCTGAGAGGAAGGGGCTTCTCATCCAGTTTCAGTGGGCTTTCTCCTTTCTTCTTTTTTTGGTTCAGCTGCCCCCCTACAGGGCACATGAGGGTGCTCAGCTCAGCCACCAGCGAGTGTTGCTTCTCATTGCTGGCCAGTGGTTTCCTGCTCATCATCGTTGATCTGCCTGCTGTGGCCCGGTACCATTCAGCCTTTCTCACTATCTGAACCACTGAACTACAGCCATCCTCTTAAGGATGTCTGAAACAAACCTAGTCTTGGAGAAGGGCCACCTGCATGTTCCTTCTTGGGCTATTCTCCCTCAGCCTTAGTGTATTCTTTAGCATTCTCTTGTATTTCTTTTTAGTAGTTAATTCGCCTGTTGCTTGTTGATGATTTTTTATATTTAATTTTTTCTGTTCAAATTACTGGTGTGGCTTCTGTCTC